TTAATCACAAAGAAAAGGAAAACCAAGAAAATTGTTTCTGATACCTAAAACACTGTATCCCCAAAGTAGGTATGCAAAATCAGGATAAATTTGATGAAAATAAGTGCGTACAAACACCATCTATCACACAGTCCACCTCACCCTCTTTGTCTGAAATTATATATATATATATATATATATATATATATATATATATATATATATATATATATATATATATATATATATATATATGCAATTTGGGAGAAAATAATTACAGCTCTAAGCTCTATAACTATCACTGTCAGTATATATTATCAACACCAACATTACCACTTATAATAGTATCATCCATACTTTAGATCAATATCATCCCTCAAAATATATTTTAAAAATTAAAAAAGGGAATAATTTTACTTTTTATGAAATCTAATTAATAAGGTCAATTTGCATCATAAAAAAGAACTTCAAAATTTGAAGATTCCTGAGATTTTGTCAGCTAAAAATTACTCAGCAAAAAGATTATTGGCTGAAGATCTGCATTAGCAAAATTTGAAATGAAACCTTATATGAAACATGGCATGGAAAAGAGTGTTAGAGAAAGCATAGTCTATTCCTAAGAGATAACAAACTAAAAAAAAGTCATTAATGCAACACTGATAAAGAGAGGAACTAAGAAAATTAGCTGGATAATATGCAATACAAAAAAAATGCTCTGTAATGTGATATTCAGAAAATAATTCCACTTCAAGGGCACACAGAATTAAAAATAACACTACCTAGTATAACATTAGATATAGTGTTACTTAATTTGCTAAGATCCTGAATGCCCAACATGTGATTATGAAATGCTGGAGCTACAAGGATTCCAAAAAGATTTTGTATTGAAATCTGAGTCACTTTGTGTTGATCTATACCACAGAACCCTGATGGAAAGGAACAGGAGTCTTAGCATATTCATTATATTATAAGCAATGTATCCTTTCCTAACTGTGTGCGATCAACCTAGTGTCGCATACATATTCTCTAAAACATATAAAAATAAAATATGAGAAATGGCTCTCTCAGTGAACACCACTTTTGCTGCAAAGAAAAAAAATCCTTCTCAAAGAGCAACCACAAAACTATAGCTTAGCCAGTGATCCTTTGATGTGTGAAGCTGCTGATGAAACTGTATTTCCTTGTCATCCAAAGGGATCCGTGCTAGTTGAGCATGCAGTTTACTTGGGCATACAGCCACCGACTTCCTGTGGTTTCTGTCAGAGCAAACTACTAAGATCCTGGTGAAAGATTTCTAGAGGAATCCAATTTTTCACTATCTAGACTCAAGCAATCATATGTATACAGAAAATTAAATGCTAAAGAAAACTGACATTCTGTGTTGAACTACCAACAGAATTATGGTGGATCCAGGTTGGGATTACACACAAGCAATTGAGCATCATGGCTAGATGCCAAGATGTCCTTTTTCTGGCAACTGAGAGTAGACGAGGATGAATGATTTGTGGTATTTTTGGAGAACCTAAGAAATGTGTATCAATAAAGTAGTAGAACAGAGAGTGAATGTATTGCATTTTAAAGTATTGCATTCTATTTGGTTTACATTCACTTTATGACTCTATTTATTGTTAATAATGAATCACAATGATCATAATACTTCCTACATGAAAATTTTTGCTTCCCCTTTATCCTCATCATGAAGTGTTTTATGCAAAAAAGACTGCGATTGCATAGTGTAGCGAGAACTACAAGGAGTGGGTAGCAGCATGGCCTATTTGACTAGCATTAAGTAATCCTTATACTGCAATTTTACCAAAAGAAAAAGAAAAAAAAAATCCAGCAGCTATCATCCTTTAAAAAATCCTGACAGTAAATAAAAATATATGATCCACTTTCTAAAGTTTATGGTCAAGAATAGCAAATTCTCTCTCACTCCCAATTTTTTGTTTCATCCACTGTTTTAATTACACAATACATTTCACAGAATGCATTAAAATAACACTCTAAGTAGTCTATCTGTCTTAACAGATAACATTAGTGCACTGTATATTACCCCCATCTAAAAAATAATATCAAGAAGCATTTCAATGGGGAGCCACCAAAAGCAAAATACACAATATGATGAATCAGTACTTCAACTATCCTCTGCAGCAAGTCAACTCAATTTCCCCTTGTGCACAGTCAGTGAAATGTATACACTGCTCCTTCTGATGGGCATGAGACTTACCTCAGTAAGTACTTCCTTAATGAGATATATATTGCACTTGAATCCCAATACTTTCATTCATCCTGTCTTTCTTCTTACCATAAAAAGAATACAAGCAATGTTATGTCACAGTAGTTTCTCTTATCACAAAAGTACATCAGTCAGTTTCATAATTACAATACCCTATACAGTATATATATATATAAAAAAAAAAATCTCTGAAAAAAAAGTCCACTGTGAAAAACATACCACTGGAAAACCTTCATATTTACATATAAACATGTGTTTAGGTAATGCATTTGCTTTAGCACTTTT